GAACAACAGATACATCAGAATTTTGATAACCTGGGAGCTGGATTTTTGACCCTGAGCAAATCCAAGCGTCCTGTTCACGTCCCTTCCTTGCAACTCTCATCTCTTCTCCATGGACCTCCCTGAAGGCAAGATGGGGGACCCCAGCCTTCCATTGCTCTGTCAGCCTCTGCTTAGACCACGCGTGGGGGCACCGCTTATGTCAGCTTCCCAGAAGTCACACGTGCCTGGGAGTAGATGGTATTTTGCCAGAAGAGAAAGGAAAACAGATCTGGAAGTGCCTTAATGATACAGCATTGGAAAGTTGAAGTGCTTTCCTCCCTAAGAACAGGCTGGGAAGGCACATCCTGCAAAGTTCTTGCAGACTGTCCAGGAGGCTTGAGTGCTGGGCACCTGCTCAGTCTGTGGGGATCACTGCTCCTCTCGCTGTCTCGAGGCTCTCCTCAGAGCTTTCTCAGTCCCCAAGCCCTCGACTCCCCTTCTGGGGCTTTTGTAGGGGAAGATACACATATAAGTGGGAGGGTAGTGGTCCTGAGCACATACCAAGAGCCAGTGACAGGGACCAGCCACCCGGTTCCCCCCTCAAATCCCCAACCAAGACAGGGTGTTATTAACTAATTCTGAGGGAGCATTTGGAGTTCGGCCTGTGCGGTCTGATTGGGTCTTTGTCTGCCTGACTCTGAAATCCTGGGGTTAGTGGGAGGAGGCAGAGGCAGGAGGGGTCTGTGGGTCTCTTAGACTCAGCACAGAACAGCCTGGCCTACACACAGTCATTTGGGATGTATCATCTTCCTTCTTGAGCCCTTTAGGTTTGCCTCCTAAATTACTACCAAAGCATGTGACTTTATTACCCGTGCTCTTCTTTTTTTTTTACTTTAAAAATAAACTGTATTGAGGTATAATTTTCATTCAGTAAAGTGTACTTGTTTTAAAGGTATAGTCAGATGAGTTTTGATAGATGTGTACACCCATGTAACCACCACTGCAATCAGGATAAAGGTTATTTCATCCTAAAACTCCCCTCATCCCACTGCAGACAGTTTCCCCTCAGGCGCCAGCCCAGGCAGCCTCCCAGGGCACTCTGTCACTGAGACTGTCTCTGCCTTTCTAGAGATGTGTTTGTATACAGCTGGTCTCTTTGTGCCGCTTCTGGGGCCTGATGAGACTCGGGGGAGAAAGAGTGACTCAGTTCCCCAGGTCTCTGCACCCTCTGCATCCTTCCCTGACTGAAGGCTTGTGCTCACATCTGCAGCTCACCCTGTCCTCAGGCAGGCAGGAGGGGCACCGGATGGGCCTGGCTCTCATGTGGCAGAGCGATGCTAGGTGGCTCCTGCCGGAGAGGGACACATTGCTAAAGATTTGCTGCAGTTTGCCTAACCTTCCTGGGATCCAGTTCATCTGTGCTTCAAGCGGGTCTATTTGGGGATATATTGAGGTTGCTTTCAGCCTTTGGAAAAAAGGGATACAAGCTAAAACCAAGAAGCTGTCAATATGGCGCTTTTTCCTTTTTTATCATCATCACCATTATTGTTTAATTGTGGTTAAACATATACAACATGAAACTTGCCATTTTAAGCATTTTTAAGTATTCGATTCAGGGGCGTGAGTGCATTCACTTTGTGTGCAGTTACCGTCTCCAGAACCTTCCGTCCTGCCCGTCCGTTCTGTACCCATTAGACGCTAACTCCCCATGAGCCTCCCCACCCCTGACGCCGACTCTGGTAACCACCATCCTACTTCCTGTCTCTATGAATTTGGCTACTCTAGTAACCACGTGTTAGTGGAATCAGCTTTTGTGTATCTGGTTTATTTCATTTAGCAAAATGTCTTCCAGGGTCAACTGTGTTGTAGCAAGTATCAGAATTCCGTTCCTTTTTAAAACTGAACGTTATTTTGTTGTATAAATAGAGTACATTTTGTTTATCCATCTGTCAGTGGCTGTCTGGGTTGTTTCTACATTTTGGCTATTGTAGGTGATGCTAATGTTGTGAACATTTGTGTACAGATATCGGTCTGGTCATCATGGTATTTAAATGCTTAGCAAACCCTTCTAGCATCTCCTCTTGCTTAAACCTGCTGCTGCCCGAGGCCTGGGAGAGGACCGCCCTTCTCCTTCTTAGCCTGCCGCCCTGTCCCTTCTGGCTTAGTGCCTGTGACAAGCGATGCTCTTCACATACTTCAGTCTTGGATGGGTATTGGGAGCTCAGGTTTCCCAGGCAGTGGAGTTGAGTTCCTTTCTTTAGAGGCATTCTTTTGTATCTTAGTTACTAATGTGTCTTAGTTACTCTTGGCCACCAGCTGACTTCTGAAGTTTGATTCCATAAGCTTCTTAATATAAGAATACAATAGAGCAGCTTTGTTTCATTAAGGGAAGAAAATAAACTGAGTTTTATCCAGCATCTACTATGTGCTAGGTACCTTTCGAGGTGCTTTCACAGTACTGGAAGCTTCACTTCCTTTGCCTCACTGGGCAACCCTGTGACATAGGTCCAAAGCCTGGTTTTAAGGGTAAGGAGGCAGAGGAGAGACTCTGAGGGCCTGGGTTACTTGCCCAAGCTCAGAGGCCAACACTTTCTATTTACCACCTAAACGCCATACTGATCTTTCAAATGCCAGAGATACTTTCCGGATCTTTTCTTCTACAATATGAGCTCAGGCCTGGTGTTGCGCCTGTGATTTGGAAAGAGTAACCCTTTGGGCTTCTTTCCCTGCTACTGCTGCTGAGTCGCTTCAGTCGTGTCTGACTCTGTGCAACCCCATAGACGGCAGCCCACCAGGCTCCTCTGTCCATGGGATTCTCCAGGCAAGAATACTAGAGTGGGTTGCCATTTCCTTCTCCCTAGTTCTGTAAAAGAAGGAATTATTAACCAAGGTTTTGTTTATTTTTCAAAATATACAAGAATAGAGAGAATAGTATAATGGATCCCCATGTCTCCATCACCCAGCTTCAACAAGTATGGACACTTGGTCAGTCTTGTTTCATTGACCAGGTTCTTTTTGACCTGTGGGGTGGTCCTCCATGGAGTGGTAGCAGTTGGCTTTTTCTGGAAGAGGGAAGTGGAGTTGGCAGATCTGGGCACCATGAAGTTAAATCTCTTCTCAGCTGGAAGAGTGTTAATTGCCATCCGTTGGAATTCCCTCTGATGGTTCATTATTCCTCTGGTTACTGAACACCATCAAAGAGGCAGGGGGAGGGGACTGATCTTTTGAGAGGCCTGATGAGTCCTGGCGAGTCCTGGTGAGGTGGTGTGCAGACAGACTTCCCGCTCTTAAAATGTTTTCCTCCTTCCGTTTGATTTTACTGGAATTTTTCTGAGTAGGAGGAGAGGTTATGTGAGGATAACCATCCCCTTAGGGGAACAGCCAAGGCAATCTAATATGGAGTGGGAGCCAATAGGAAATAAGCTTATGGCCTCTTCAACTAGATTTATTTAACAGACATTTTTATTTACTTATTTTTTTAAATATCCACCATGTGCCAGACACTGAGCTACATGCCGGGAATCCAACTATGTAATGTTGATATCTGCTCTGGAAAAACTTGTGGTCCACAAAAATAGCAGCTATTATTAGCAACTAATGTAACAGCTAATAATAACAACTCACATATGTATGTGCTGGCCACTTGACATGCATTGTCTGATTATACCCCCCAAAGCAATCTGTAAGATGGGTACAATTTGTGTCTGTCTTATAGACAGGGAAACTGGGGTCACCGCATCCCGCCGCTGGCAGAGGTGTGGAGCTGTGTGTGTTCTTGCTGTCCTGTCTGAGCAGAACAAGTGTCGGGAGGGGAAACTGCAGGTGACGGAGAGGGGAGGGGACCAGGGGCCAGTTCTGGGGCTGCAGGAATGGGCTCACATAAGCGCCATCAGATGTGCTTTCTCAAAGGATTGGGGCAGCCAAACAGTACATTTTTTCTCTCAACTTCACAGAGGATTGTGGGATTCCTTGTATTTCAAAGCCAGGGCAGGTCTTTGGGAGGAGAAAAAGAGTGAAGACTGGAACTTAAGAGTGCTTTTTGGAGGCTGCAGAAAGGGATAGAGCAAAGACAACAGGCTAGGTTTGTTCTGTTTTTATTTTAAAAGAAAAAAGAAAGATTTGCCATCTTTCAAGGGAGACGAGTTGGAGATTGAGAGAAGTGGTTTTTAGTATAAGGAAGGGGCAGTTTCTGCTCTGGTTGACATAGTCCAGCTATCAGATGGTTGGGATTCTTGTGGTGGGGTGTGGCCCCCTGTTCACAGGAGCTGGTGGTGACATCACTCTTTCTGGGATGAAGGTGGCTTGGTGTGCCCAGTTTCTTTTGCATGGAAGCCTGCTTTCTGAGTTTGAATATATTTTCTAGGATCAGATCGGCTAGTATCTCTGTAGAAAGGGCCAGCAAATTCTTTAAATATTTTAAAAGAAAACCTGTGACTGTCTTTTGCATTCATCCCAGGAAGCCCCTCATCTCTACTCATGTTTAACCTGTAACCTATAGTGTACAATAAACGTAGAAGCCTCTGCCTGCCTGACCGAAAAGGAATATGAGACATTGAAATGAGAGTCCCAGGCTGGGATCCCTTTTAAGGAAAGCATTTATTATGAGTGTTTCACATTTTCCATTTTAATTTTTAATTCATTTAAAAAGATGTGTGTTTGATTTTGCCATGAGATCAGGTGAGGTGCCATCTGGCTCGGAGGCAGGGGGATGGAACATCTCAGGTTCCTACCAGCTGTGTGATTTGTTTTTTCTAGTTGTCCCTACTCCGAGCTCCCAGGTAACATAGAAGCAAGATTTTATGCAGAATCAGCTTCAAATAGAATCCAGGAGAACATCCTGTCTTTGAATCAGTATATCATCTCCATGTACACCTGGCTGACAGGAAACAGACGGAAGTGTATGAGGATACCTCTGTCAGGAATGGAGCGCTTCCCAAACCAGCAGGAGAAAAGCCCGTCTCAGCTCAGAATAAACAGCAAGAGTGATGCCGCCTGCCCTCCCTCCAGGAAAGGCAACTCACTCACACCGGTTTCTATGGATACAGGCTCCCCTGGGGCAGCGGGGGTGGTGGCGGCCTCAAGGCTGTTGCGGTGGCGATGCATGGCTGGGGTGGTGTGTTCCCCACGATGGTGCCTCCGCACGGGCAGGGACCAGCCTTGCCTGCGCCGCCACCTGGGCTCCTGTGAGGGGCTCCGGTGGCCAAGCCTGGAGGGCGCGCGGGGTAGCCGAGGTCCACCGCACTGTGTGCGGCCGCTGCACCTTAGGTGCAGGCGGGGGTTCAGGATTGGGCCCTGAGCGGAGACATCAGAAGGAGGGGGAAGCATGGTCTGTGCCATCAGGGACCTCTGGTGTGAGAGACTCAGTGGGCTCCCCGTCTGATGGGGACAACCAGATGCGCCGGAAGAGCAGGGACGGAAGGAAACAGCCGTCACTTCCTGTTTCGAGCCCCACAGCGGCCTCCCTTCCGGCTTCCGGCGAAGTCGGGCTCCCGGCATGGTGTACACCGTGCTCCTGGGTACCGCGTTCCTCCCCCAGGCTGCCGCCGTCCTGGGCTCTGGAATCTGTTTCAGGATTCCAGCTGGCTCCTGCCTTGGGGCCCTTCCCTGCTGTGCCCCGGCCTAGACCTGTTCCCCCACCACCTCCTCTGCCTTCGCTGCATTCAGGCCTCTGCTTTGGTATGGTTTCCTGGCCACCCCGTGTCAAATCAGGACTTCCTTCCTGCCTACACCCTTCTCTTACCCTCTTTCCCTGCCTTGCTTTTCTTCACAGCACTTGTAAACTTACCGGTTCACTGTGTGACTGCCTGCTTCCCCTTCTGGAAGGTACGCTCCTCCAGAGCTGGGACAATGTCTTATTCATCCCGGAATCCTACTGCTAAAAGCATCGCCTGGCACATGTGAAACACTCAGTAAATACTGGATGACTAAGTGACAAACTGTAGCTCAGAGAATTGCATTTGATCATGTGAGATTCTGTGAGAATGTTTACAATATGCTTTTGTATTACTCTAACGGTTGTAAAGTTCTCTAAGTCGAGGAGAAAGACAAATACTATATGATATTGCTTATATATGGACTCTAAACTGTGATACAAATGAATTTATCTGCGAAGCAGACTTACATAGAGAGGGAACAGGTTTGTGGTTGCCACGGGGGTGGGTGGGGGAGCGATGCATTGGAGTCTGAGGTCAGCAGAGGTGAACTATTACATAAGAGTGAGCAAACAACAGGGTCCTACCGTGTGATGCAGGGCACTGTATTCACTGTCCTGTGATAAACCATGATGCAAGGGAATGTGAAAAAGAATGTATATGTGTGTGTGTGTGTGTGTGTGTGTGTGTGTAACTGAATCACTTGCTGTGACAGCAGAAATTAACACATTGTAAGTCAACTATACTTCAATAAAATAAATTTTTTTAACATTTAAAATGAGAAAAATTCTCTCGTGCAATTCTAAGTTGCAATTAAGAGACAGTGTTTGTAAAATTAGATTTTGTTTTTTTTAAGACAGTACCTCCTACACTGGGATATACAGACCCCTTGGCGGGGGAGGCAGTTCTTAGATAGGCCCGTGAGAGTTTGGGATTGTGTTTTCTTTGGGAGATGCTGTATATTAGTCCGTTTTGGGGAATCCATGTGGATCATGCACAAAACTGCTCATGAGGTAGAGTACACTGGAGGTGGACTCTGGAGGACTTTCCGGAAAACAGATCTTAATCAGTAGTTGTAAGAAAAGGGCAGGTCTTCATACAGGACAGAAGAGCTTTGGGTGACTCACTTTGAGGGCCTGGTTTGTAATGCTGAGAAGCCACAGTGGGCGTGCTCTCAAGGGCCATGGGGAGCCAGTGTGCCTGGCCGAAGTGGAGTCTGAGCTTGGGTAGAACAAGGCGAAGCAGTGACGTTGAGGGTCCTTCCTGCTCTGAAAACCTGGGTTGGAGTGACAGCTGTGCAGTGAGCGGTGACCCGTAAACTCTGCTTTCTGGCCCCTTCCTCATCACTCACGTCTTCCTGGAGTCATGTTGGCATGATGCCCCCCATGGCCTGTGCAGCTGGGGCATTGGAGAGTGTGCTGGGCCCGCCCCCTCCCCGCGTGCAAGAGTCAGCTGGCAGGTGGAAGATGGCCCACCCTCGGGAAGGCGGCCCCCAGCTCACCAACTTGCAGTCCTTTGTTTAACTGGGAGTCAGCCAGACCAGAGGTCAGCCTTTTCCTTGGGAGACCGTCAGAGCTGGCCTGAGGTTGAGGGGGAGCGAGGTCGAGTTCCCAGGGAGCGGGCCAGGGTGTGACCCTGTCTCCTGCATCAGCCTTCCACTGTCTGCAGCCTGGCTGGTGCAGCGGCCTGTGGTTGGCAAGCCTGGTCACAGGCCGCAGGCCTGAGGGGCTGGAAGGCCGTTTGCAGGCCTTGCAGCGGTGCCCTTGTAGGGATGAGGTGCTTGGGGCCCAGAGAGTTACAGAAGAGCTGTGCCCACACCCAGCTCGGTGCTCTTTGTACTGCGTCCTGTTTAGGACAGGAACCCAGGCGGGTGATGAAATGTGGGCAACAGTACATCAGCACCTCGGTTTTCAGCCTTGTGTCCCACCCGAGGCATTGAGGTTTGCTTTGGGAAGTTAGAATAAATGGATCCTGCTCTGCTGGAGTGACAGCTATTCCCCTCGGACCCCGGACTGTGATGTGGCTCCCTGCCCTGTCAGGCTCTAGGCAGGACGTGTCGGAGTGTCGGGCTTGTGGATGGAGCGGCCTCCGGACGGAAAGGCCGTTGGCCTGCGGAAGGTATCTTTGCTCTGCAATCCCCTCGCCTTTTCTGTCCACAGTTTCCTGTCTGCGTCCTGCTTCTTGTTCTGGGGTCGGTCATGTTGGTGTGTGCGTGCCTAGGTGCTCAGTCCTGTCCGACCTTTTGGACTGTAGCCCACCAGGCTCCTCTGTCCATGGGGTTTTTCAGGCAAGAATACTGGAGTGGGTTGCCATTTCTTCCTCCAGAGGATCTTCCCCACCCAGGGATCAAACCCGAGTCTCCTGTGTCTCTTGCATTGCAGGCAGATTCTTTACCCGCTGAGCTATCAGGGAAGTCCAGTCATCTTGAAAGTGGTTCCTAAGACCACCCCGTGGGCTGTGAAGTCCCTTCTCCCTAAGCCCTTAGCCTGGAGGGGGGAATGTGGAGATTAGGGAAAGGTCAGGTAGAGCCTTTGGGGCTGAAATGCCTGAAGCAAAAGGTAAAGTCAGAAGTGTTCTAACCCCTTAACTTGGGATCTTGAGAAATGAGCCGTATCAAAGTGCTGAGAGCTCTGCTTTTGGAGTCCAGAGACATAGATTTGCACCCCAGCCTCTCCCCTTGACCTTGAATAGGCTACTAAAGTGTTCTGAGTCTTGGTTTTCTTATCTGAAAAGTAAATTTAATGGCCCCTGGCCCCTTGCACTGTGTGGGGATTCACTGGGATAATGCATATCAGCAGAGCATTTATCCAGGAGCCCGCAGCTGATGGGCACAGGTGATGAGGTAACTCCGCATCGCCATCAGCACCACTGGGTGGGGTGCCTGTATCATACCCAGTGCCACGCTGGACACTGAAAAAGAGAATCACATGTCAGCCACCGGGGACACAGTTGGCTGGGAGGAGAAATGCACATAAGACAAAGGACAGTGCACAACATACTTAGAAATCTAAAATGACGTTTAGACCATTAGGGTGTTGGGGAGAGAGCCATGGAGGGAGAAGCCTTTTGAGGAGTTAAGGGTGGGATTAGGAAAAAACTTGATATATATTCAAAGTAATACTCTACTTTTAGTATCTCCCTGCCCCTGCAAGTGAACACTTTATAATAACACAGATGGAGCAAGGAGGAAGCCCTCTGGCTGAGGGGCCAGGTAGAAGGTCCAAGTGGCCAAAGCTCTCTAGCCTTACCCTCGCCATGATCTCCCAGGGGCTCATCCATGGGCGCCTCCTTCCCAAAGACCAGAAGGTCTGTGTGGCTAGATAGAGGAGGAATCTTCCACCCTCTTTGCTCTCACTGGACTCTGTGGGATGCTAGAAATATTTTCCAACCCACCGAAGGAGAAAGAATCGACCAGGGCGGGTGCCAAAATATTCAGTAAATTCGAAAGAGTCTTTTGTTTGCTGAAGAAAGACTGGGCTGGAGCCTCTTCTGATCTGACATCACAGCCTGGGGGGTTGGGCCTCCCGTTCTGGCCCAGCCCCCACTCCCAGGCTCAGGGTCTTAGCCTGTGCAGGGTTTACTTTAGGGAAGGTCAGTTCTGGTTCCACCTGTTAGTTCCGTCACCTTCAGCAAATTCATCAGCCCCTCCGGCCTTAGTGGCTTCACCTGTGAGATGGTGATGGCAGTTCCGCTCGCTTTGAAGGGGGTTTGGGAGGGTGGGGTGATCTTTCGCTCCCCTCTGGCTCTGATGCAGCAGGTGTTGCCCCTTTCCACATAGGCACTCTGAGATGCCAGACACACGGCTGTCATTGTTTAGAACACGTGAGAGCTGTGCTTTGGATCTGCCTTTGAGCCTGCAGCACAGGCACATTCACGCTTCCTCAGGGATGGGTACTCTTCTTCTTGAGGGAATCTGATTTGGGGGAGCAGCTTAATCAGGAAAATAAGTATAAGATCAAGCTGAATGGAGATTCTTTTAGTTGCAAACAAGTGAAGCTGATTTCATCCAACTTCTAACTGACTCAGAAATGGATTCCAAATAAAATTTCAGAAATGTTTTGTGCAAAGACTGCATCCTTAGAAAACATGTGGTAGGTGCTTATTATTTTAAAGACAGGACTCATGTGGGCATATTAATTCTGATTTTTTTAATGGAGTTTGCTGTTTACATTTACATTTCATGTTTTTAAAAAGTGATCCTCTTCATTCCTGTTCATTTCCTAATGCATTTGTTTTATGTGGCTGGATACTTGTCCTTTTTATTTTATTAAAAAGGTGGCTTACTGAGTTCATTATCAATTATAAAAACGTAAAATGTTTTATGTCAGTGGTTCTCAAACCTTTTTAGCTTGTTCAAACCCAAGTGGCTGGGCTCATGCACAGAGCTTCTAATTCAGTAAGTTTGGAGTGGGGGCTCAGTAATTTGCATTTTAATATACTCCCAGGTGAAGCTGTTGCTCCTGGTCTGTATTTTGAGACACCTCCTGAGCTAACTGAAAGGGGCCTTGGTCAGCAAATCCAACCCCATTATTTTACATGTTGGTTAACTGAAGTATAAGAAGAAGTGACTCCTTCACCAAGTGTTATATGATTAGATTAGTAACAAAGCTGGATCTGAAACCCAGGCATTCAATGTGCCCAGTCTGATGCTTTGCAAATTATTATTTCTTGGTTGGAGGCTAGTTAACATGAGTGTAAGTTTTTAAGATTTTGTAAGACCGTCCTGGTTTCAAATAATCTGGCCTGTTATCCACTTTCGTACAACTGGGCCATGATTTTTATTTCACCACAGGAATAACTTGTGTTCGATTTGCTTTTTAAAAATTTGTGATAAAATAGACACAA